TAACCAAGACTTGCCATCTTCTTTGGTATTAAGTTGCCGTGTATGTGAAACAACACACAAAAAATCGCCATGAACATGGCAACATATTAAACTACATTTGCCATGCTCTCATAGAACTCAAATTGCCACGTTGCAAAGAAAAACATGGGAACACATCATATATTTACATGGCAACACAACCCTTTTGTTAGTTCTGTGGCAACACATCATGGAAAAACTAAAAAGTTGAGTTGCCATGGCAACTAAAAACGAAAAAGTTTGACATTTTAGTAAAAATAACAAGGCAAATTTGAATGTGTATTTGCCATGGCAATATTCTCCATCATTTCTTTGTGCTATTTTATCCGTGGCAAATTTGTTAAACATTTTTCCATGGCAAATTGTTGTAAATTCATGTCATGGCAAATTGTTCTAAATTTATGTCATGGCAAAATCTGTATTTTTTTCCATGACCAACACTCTAGTTAGCCATGGCAATTTTGTATTTTTTTTCACATGACCAACAATCTAGTTAGCTCAAAGGTAAATTTGCCATGGCAACTATACCATCTGGATGAGGGTAAATGTGCCACCTGAACTAACTTGCCTCTTCAAAAATTAAGATGGCAGAAATGGTAGAGGCATACTAGAAAAGCCATAGGACAGATGGCAAACATACTGTATGTGCTGGCCCATACATGCAATGGTGGAGCTCGCCGTAGAAAACTCCTGGCGGACACCTGTGCGCCCATGGCCGGGCCCATGGGCACCCGCCGCATCTGGAAGCACCCCGCCGTCTTGAGGCCGTCACGCCCGGAGAGAGCCAGCCCGGAGATAGAGGGGGTGACCTCCGCCCGCCGGCCCACCCCCACGACGGAGACAACGAGGCCCAATCTGGTGGAGGTAGCCTTTTCCCTAGTAGTGTCACATAAAAATTCAAACAAATGCCATGTTTTCAAAAAACAAAACAAAAAAAATCATGGTCGTCATCACGGAGGACGACTCCTGGTCGGCATCTTAGTTGACGTCTAGGCCAGGAGAGGAGCTACATTGCCATGGTCAAATGAAAAGTAGCTTATGCCGTGTTGCTAAAGGAAAAGAATATTGCCATGATCCTTAAATTACATTTGCCATGCTTGAACTTAATTTTCCATGGTGCAAATAAAATTGCAAATGGTATCTATTTTTGAAACATGAGTAAATCTAATGTTGCCATGGTCCCGTTAAATTTCCCATGGTCCCTTCAAAGAAGAAAATTTTCCATGTTGCAAAAAAAGGAAAGAAAATTTACCATGGTCCTTAAAATTGGAAATTGCCATGCTCCGAAAATTGCATTTGCCATGATACACACACTAAGTTTGCCATGGTCCTGTTCGAAAACAAAATTTGCAAGGTTGTAAAAGAAGGAAGAAAATTTGCCATGCTACATGAACTACCGTTGCCATGAAAGATGCACTGAGATTGCCATGGTCCCATTGAAAAAAGAAAATTTGCCATGTTGCAAAAAAGAAAGAAAATTTGCCATGCCCCGTAAACTACATTTGCCATGATACATACACTAAGTTTGCCATGCTCCCATTCAAAAAGAAATTTTGCCATGTTGCAAAGAAGGACGAAAAATTGCCCTGCTCCACGAACTGGCATGAAAGAAGATTTGCCATGGTCCCTTTCAAAAATAGAAAATTTGTATGAGGCATAGACTAAAAAATGCCATGATCCATACTATAATTCCCATGATGCATGAACTAAAAAATTGCCATTGTCCCATTCAAAAAGAAATTGCCATGTTGTAAAAAAAAGAAGAAGAATTGTTGTGGCCCCGTTTACAAAGTTCAAAATCAAGTATGAACAAGAAAAATTGCCATGGCAGATTCGTATCAATAATTGCCGTGTTTCGTATGATGAATGTAGCCCGTGTAAAAAACACAAAAAGTTGGAATCAAGTATGAACGAGAAACTTCCATGGCAGAATTGTATCAAAAATTGATGTGTTTTTTAATCAAATTTTACATGAAAATTGCCAAGAATGTGAAGTAATAAAAAAATTGATCAAATGTTTCCATGGCAAATGCATGTTTCATTTTGCGATGTTAGTTTCAACGAAAATGCCATCTTTTGCGTAATAAAATTGTTGTGTATGTGAAAATAACACAAACAAAATGATCAAAAACAAATTTCCATGGCAAGTGCAAAGTCAAAATGCCATGGCACATGGAGTAATAATGTCGTGATACATGAAAAAAAGGATAGATTTGCCATGTTATATGAGTTAAATTTGTCATGATAGTACCATTGAAATTGCCATGTAGTTAGTGTGTAGCATGCCAAATTGTTAAGTAGGAAAATGTACATACATATGGGTGAGTTTGCCATCTACCATGAAACGAACAGGGCAAAACTAGACTGATTGAACATGGGGGAGTTGTCATGTCTATGTTTAGTACCATTACAGAATGATGGGTTGTGGTTGGCATGAAGATGGCAAACATGGCAAAAAGAAACAGTTCAGCCATGGCAATTGATGGGTTATGGATCTGATGAAGTTGCCAAGCATTTAGTACAATAGCATACCAATTGCTTGGTACCTGTTAACAGGCATAACAAACATGAAACATGGCAAATTTCAGGCTTTTATAGAGAGTGATTTGCCATGTATTTACTCAGAAATTTGGAAAAAAAGGATGTGTTGTGGTTTGAAAAACATGGCAAACAACGCAAGTTTTTACAGTTCCATACATAGGGCAAGTTGCCATCTATTTATTCAGTAGAATGGCAAAATGATGAAAGGGCAAATGTAAATGCATTGACTGCCGTAGCATATGGCATATCAGAACACATTGCAATTTTCAGCGCCAAATAGTAGGATAGTTGCCATGTATTTATTTAGAAGCATGGCAAATTGATAAGAGATGGAATTGTAGACACATTAACATCAGTATGAAAATGGAAGATCACACAAAAACACATATTTTTGCCATGGAAAATACTCCAGAATTTGACATGGCAGAAGCTCATAGCAACTCTGTCCCATGGCAATTATTCGTAGCAAATTCGGCCATGGCAACTACTATATAATTTTGCCATGGCAATTACTCCAGAAATTTGACATGGCAACAACTCATAGCAATTCTGCCCCATCAGAACTACTCATAACGAAAACTGCCACGACACCAATTGATCCAACATTCAGTTTGACATGTTATTTGAAGTATTCTTGACATGTTGTACAAAATTTCAGAATTTGCCATGTTTTACAAAAATGTCGTGTGTTCAAAAAAGAGCAATCCTACATTTGCCATGTGACCAAACAAATTGTGGGAAAAATTTATACATGATACATGGAATTTGCCATGGCAAAACACATTCTGTAGCATCTATTCAACAATGTATGAATTTACTATGTGATGCTACAGAAAAATTGCCATGGTTATGTTAGTTTGAACATTGGATTGATGAGAAAAACAAATTTGCCATGGCAAAAACATTCAGTATAATCTATTTCAGCTCATGTGAATTTCCATAAGATCATATAAAAAAATTGCCATCATGTGGACTAGTCATATACACGAATTCTGCTATTCGAGCCAATGGACCAGCGACTCACCGGCAAGAACGGGCATGGCCACGACCTTCTCCATGGGGTGGCCAGACGTGACGCCGGTGACGGAATCCAAGGTGAGGACGAACGTCGCCGTAGAATGGACGCGGAGGAAGGGAATCGACGGAGGCGAGGCTCCTCCAGCATGGATCCCGCAGCAGCTCCTCTTCACCGTTGCCGCTGTCGCCATTCCTCTCCCTGCAGCTCCTCCTCCGCTGCGCACGGGCACTCCCCTGCGGCAGCTCCTCCCCCGCTGCGCACGTGCACTCCCCTGCGGCAGCTCCTCTTCACCGTCGCCGTCGCTGCCATTCCTCTCCCTGCAGCGGTTCCTCCCTGCCACGGCCCCTCCATCGTGGCTCCTCCTAGCCGCAGCCCAATCCCGTTGCGGCTCCTCCATCGCGCAGCGAGCGCGCCCTTCCTCCTCCGTTGCGCCTTCCATCGCCGTTGGCCGAATCCACCTCCTATTCGCCACCGCTTAGGGCCTCCGCCCGCCACCACTCGGGACCTCCGGTCGCCGTCGCCCAAGGCCTCCGTCCGCCTCTGCTCGGGGCCCACGCCCGCCACCGCCAGGGGCCTCCGCCCGCCTCCGCTCGGGGCCTCCGCCCGCCACCGCCAGGGGCCTCCGCCCCGCCTTCGCTCGGGCCTGCCGTCCGCCGCCGCCCGGGCCATATTGTGTGTGGTGTGCGGGTAGGTGGGGAAGAAGGTGAGGCGGAGTGGGGAAAGAAGAACGGAAGTGAGGACGTGCGACATAGTTTGTCCAGGTCCGGACGTGCGGCACAGTTTGTCCAGGCCCGGACAAGACTGTGGGATGACGTGGAACGTAAAGTGCTTCAAGAATCATGCAAAATGATTCAACGACAGATGACGCGTGTGGGCGGGATGCTACACACCACACGTGTGGGCGTTAACATTTCCGAAAAATAAACAAAGTCACGTGCAACGATGAGAAATGAAACCCAACTCCTCGCCACTCAAAAAAAGGAAAGAAAAAAGCGAAACCCTCGACTCCATTTCCTCCCAAATCCCAAACCCCCATGGACGAGCTCGCCGGCGACCGCCGCCGCGCCGATTCGGCGCCTCCGCTTCCGCATCTCCCCGACGACCTGCTCGTGGAGATCCTCCTCCGCCTCCCGCCGGAGCCCATCCACCTCTTCCGCGCCTCCTTCGTCTCCAAGCACTGGCGCGGCCTCGTCCACGACGCCCGCTTCCTCCGCCACTTCCGCGACTTCCACCGGGGGACGCCTCCCGTCCTCGGCTTCTTCAGCAACCAGCCGGTGTCTCCCCTCTTCGTCCCCACCTCCGACGGCTTCGCCACCCCGCCGCCGCCACGATGCGCCACGGCGAGTGGTGGGCCCTCGACTGCCGCCACGGCCGCGCCCTCCTCCTGGACCAATGACACGGAAGGCTCCTCGTCTGGGACCTCATGAACGGCGACAAGCACTACCTGCCGTTCCCCACACAGGCCCATCTGGAGGGCGTTGAGTACAATGGCGCGGTCCTCTGCGCGGCTGGCCACGCCGACCACGGCGACTGTCATTCGTGCCCGTTTCTCGTGGCGTTCGTGTTCAATCAGCAGAGTGATTTCAATACCTCCGCGTGCGTCTACTCGTCCGAGACAAGCGTTTGGGGTGAGATCCACTCGATCGAAATTCCAGATGTATCAGTTACATGGGCTCCGACGCCACTGATTGGAAATACACTCTACTGGATTTTGGATACCTCTGGCGGCACTATCGAAAATGAGTGTTGGATCGTTGAGTTTGATTTGGATGCACACAATTTGGATTTAACTGGGGAGATTCCATACTACGTGCTCGATAAGTACAATAGGCAAATTGTTCTCATGCCAGCAGATGATGGACGGCTTGGTTTCGCCGGAGTTGACACATTCAGTCTCCATTTGTGGTCAAGTATAGCTTGCGTTGACGGGATGGTAACATGGGCACATTGCAGAGTCATTGATCTGGAGAATTTTCTTGCACCGGAAGCAGTGGCGGCGTGTCGGTATGTACCAGATGCAGTTGGCTATGCTGAAGATGCCAATGTGATCTTCATTCGTGTGGATCCAAACATCTATATGATCCATCTCAACACCATGCAGATTGAGGAGGTCTCAGAGAAAGGGGCCTATTGGTTTGTTTTTCCTTGCACAAGTTTCTACACTCCAGGTATTGCCTGCCGTTGTTTTTTATGTTGCAAAGTTCATTTTATTTTTTTCCAAATTGTATCTTTCCTGTAAGTGTTTTCAAGCACATGAACCACTGTTCACTTCACTACCAATGACAAGTTTTCATGAACTCTTTTTGAAAGAACTGCTTATTAAATGATGAACCATTCATACTCTGCTTATTACTCCTGGCTGCTGCTGGTTCTCATCTTCTTCTCATTATGTGGCGTTCTTAACGAACTATTCAATGTTGTTCCAATTTACAAACTAATCGTTAATGTGCTGGAAAATGATCCTTTTGGTGTCTCACAACTCAAACAATGCATAGGAGCTTCTTTCATTTTTACTTCCAAGTGTTTCACGTGTTTTTGCATCCGAACCCAAATCCAACCGTTTTCCTGTATCATAATCGCTGGATGACCTAGTTTATTGGTAGCACGGGGATCACAATTTCTTGATGTTCTCCTATGCCATACATATTTAGATCTAAACAGTCAGGAAGCTAGTAAATTTAGTCAATGTGTCATCATTTGAAGGTGCCTTTGCTTAACATACACTTAAAAGAACAATATAGCTGTTTCGCACCAGCAATTTATAACCGTTCTGTTCTTGTGGCCTTGTCTTGGCACTGGATAATATAAACACTGACACATGAGAATTAGCCAATTAACTAAAGAAGCGACTGATATTCCGCCTTTCTTTAGTCAGTGCATAACTGTTTTCTCTTTCAGTTAAGCTTGTGGATTTTAATGTCAATACGGTGCCTTCTTAACGTTAATTGCTTCAGCTTTCCCACAATTCTTTTTGCTTAAGCTTCATATTATGCGGGATTTAGGGTGGTATTTTTATTTCTTAATTCTGTGCTTAGCGTTCTTTGTCCAGGTGAGTAGGAGAAGGGCATACTTTCTCATATTCCCTTTGCTGTATTGCGCATGAAACTTAATTGTGTGTATAACGAATGGGCTCACACCAAAACAGTTCAAAAGACAAAAATGATTCCTAAAGTAATTGAATGGCATATCCTTTGTTTTGAGGTTATTGGTGTAATGTGCCTTGAAGAATTATTTGAATATTGTATTACATGTGATTCCTTGACTGTTCCTAACCTTGTAGCAAAACTTTTCTCAGTTGTTTTATTGCCAACGATTGCCATTGGTTTATTGACTAATTCTTCTCATAGGAATCACCACTGGTGGTGGAGATGATCAAGCTGAGCCATTAAACGACTGTTGAGATGATTGTGCTTTCACACCTGCAGTCACACTTTGCTGGTCTAAGAGGTGATGTAATAATATCTTTTACCACCTGTCTATTGGTTTGCCTGCGTGATTTGGTAATTTTGGTTCGACGGTCAACTTTTACTACCTGTCTATTTGTTTGCTTGCGTGATTCTATAATTTCGTGGTTCAATGGATCAATATTCTTCGCAAATGGTAAGAACTAAGAAACTGTGGTGCCGGTGTTACACAGAATGCAGTCTGATCCTTTTCCCCTTGAACAACTTGATCATTTCGTTTTCCCTTTTCCAATTATTTCTTAGCTACAAAGTTTCGATAGAGAAGTCTTCACGTCTCTTTCTCTAGCCTTAGATTAGATGACTATTGTTAGAGTACTATATCTATAGTTATGTAGTCTTTTGTATTTACCCCATTGTATAAGGGGTTTCCTGCATATTTCCTACACCTGTACATGTATATATACTGGCCTATGGCCTTATGGGAATACAAGTTGCATATTCCTATCATGGTATTAGAGCTGAGTCAGTATTTTGCACCATATCCTATGGTTTACTCGCCTCGCTTGTCACAGGATTCTGCACCTTCATCCCCAGTGAATTCTTCGTCTACATCCCCTAAGTCACATTATACTCGCCGTCCGCATAATGTGGATGCGTCTAATGATGTGCTGTCCTCCTCGTCTGAGCTTACTTATGGCTTGCGTCCTCGTCCGCTTCCACCTGTTGATCGCCTTGGTTTTCGAACCACTGGCGCTGTTGTTCTTAAGCCGACTTATTATCGTGAAGCTGTTGTTCATCCCGAGTGGCAGTTTGCAATGACAGAGGAGCTTGCTACTCTTGAGCGCACCGGTACGTGGGATCTTGTTTCTCTTCCTCTCCATGTCCATCCCATCACTTGTAAGTGGGTCTACAAGGTTAAGACTCGCCCCAATGGTTCTCTTGAGCATTACAAAGCTCGTCTTGTGGCTCGTGGCTTTCAGCAGGAGCATGGCCGTCATTACGATGAGACTTTTGTTCCTGTGGCCCATATGACCACTATTGATACACTTCTTGCCGTGGCCTCTGTTCGCCACTGGTCTGTATCTCAGCTTGATGTTAAGAATGCCTTTCTTAATGTTGAGCTGCGTGAGGAGGTGTACATGCAGCCCCCACTTGGGTATTCTGTTCCTGATGGCATGGTCTGCCGTCTTGGTCGCTCTCTCGATGGCCTTAAGCAAGCCCTTCACGTCTGGTTTGAGTGTTTTGCCTCTGTGGTGACCGCCCGCTGGTTTTTCAGCGAGTGCTCATGATCTAGCGTTGTTTGTCCACCTTTCAGCTCGTGGTCGGACTCTTCTCCTCCTCTATGTCGATGACATGATCATCACTGGCAATGACCCCGAGTATATTGCCTTTGTGAAGGCACATCTTAGTGAGCAGTTTCTTATGTCTGATCTTGGCTCTCTTCGCTACTTTCTTGGGATCGAAGTCTCTTCCACCTCTGATGCCTTTTCTATTTCCCAGGAAAAGTATATCCAGGATCTTCTTGCTCGTGCTGCTCTTACTGATGAGCGCATTGTTGAGACTCCCATGGAGCTCAATGTTCACCTCCGTGATACTGATGGTGACCCCTTGTCTGATCCGACGCGTTATCATCATCTTGTTGGGAGTCTTGTCTATCTAGCTGTCACTCGTCTGGATATCTCTTATCCGGTCCATATTCTGAGTTAGTTTGTTTCTGCTCCCACTTCGGTTCACTATAGTCACCTCCTTCCTGTTCTTTGATATCTTCATCGGAATACAAGTTGCATATTCCTATCAACTATATCTCCCAGACTTTATCCGGGTTTTCTCTTGGAGCCTGGATCTGGGCAATTCATTTTGCTGATGTACTAGGTTGATGCAATTCATCATGCCAGTCAGCTTTATACCACTTATTGAATATGCATTTGCTATATAGTACATCGATGCCTGCATTTGAGAAAAAAAATAGTTGACATTAAGGTTTAAGTCCTCCATATGATGCCATGGTTCGACTAATCACAACGTGTTAGCAATCATTTTTAAGCCCAAAAGTACAAAATAAAAACCAAATGTTTATTCTACATGCTGTGCCCTGGTATTTACATGGTCTTACCTGTCCTGTACAAATGTACCACCACACATGACTGGTATGCCTTGCAGTACATGTTGACCTCTAGCGGCCTATTGTTTGTTTGATATCATTTCTGTCAATTTGCTTGATACAATTCTTCATGTTAGTCAGTTTTATATCATTTCTCGAATATGCATTTGCTATATAGCATCGATGCCTACATTTGAGAAAAAACAGTGACATTAAGGTTTCAGTCCTCCAAATGTGACGGCATGGTTTGATTAACCGCAACATGCTAGTAACCATTTTTAAGCCCAAAAGTATAAAATAGAAATCAGATGGTTATTCTATATACCGTGCCCCTGGCATTTACATGGTATTACCTCTGTCTAGACATGACTGGTACGCCTTGCAGTACATGTTCACCTCTGGTGGCCTATTGCTTGTTTGGTTGTTGCATGTTAACTCGTATAAACTGTTTTCCTTTGCATGTTTAAACCCGTGCTGTTTAAACTTGCAGATATTTTTTGCAATGTCTTTCTTTTGTCCCTCCTGAGTAGTCGAAATCAGCTCTGCTGATGAGATTGCTTGCTGTGCAGGTACCCAGGTTCTTTGTTGCTGTGACTAAATGCAGAAACAACTTACCCATGCTGGTTAGTACTTCCCTCCGTCCCAAAATAAGTGTCTCAACTTAAAGTTAGTACAAAGTTGAGACACTTATTTTGGGACGGAGGGAGTATTTTGTAAATGTTGACGGCTCAATGTGGCTGTACAAGTCGCTGAATGTGATGCTAACCTTGCAAAAGGTGTCGAATTAATCGTGGGATGTTATCTTTAGCGATTCTATATGCATTAACCAACTTTACCAGCGCTTGGTAAAATGTAAGTCATACTTCAGAATATTGTTGTTGAGAAGATGGCATTTGTTTGGCCTCTTGAGTGTTCCGTTTGTGGCTCTAGTTACGCTTGATGTCGCATTTGTGCCGAACCGGTGTGTTAGATTTTCTTCGGTCCGTAATCCTGCTCTCTAGATATATAATATGATTTGTGCGCATGTCTGCTACAGTAAGCTATGTGATGTGTTAGGTCCAACTCAGCTGTTCCAGGCGAGTGGCTGTGATGCAGTTCTTTTAGCAAATTGAAATTGAGCTTTGGATGAGTATGTTTTTCACTGATAGAAGACTATCTCTTTAGATGTTCAGCTGCCACATTGCTTGCAGAGTCAAATGGGTTTGATTCTTGTGCATACTGACTTTATGGTACATGATCATGAGCACCTGAATTTGCACAGCCTTGTGCACCTCAGTTGAGTTGAGTGGCTGGCCGAATCTCACCTACAGATAATTTGTTTGAATGTTATTAAGTGTTTATTGGGAATTTATTGTTTGTCTCTTTATAGAAATGATTCAAAAGTTATTTAGTGTTCCTATGATAGTCATTTGATTTGTAGGAGAGAATCCTATAGGAATATTTCTACATGAATTTTAGCATTCACTCAGACCTCTTGGAAATAATCTTTGTTTTTCCTGCGGTGCAATCAAATAACCCAAAATCCCATAGGATTCAAATGGGCATGATATTGCAATCCCATGTTTTCCCACTCCTATGTTTTTAGATTTCTGTGAATTAGAGAGACTCTAATGCGTATTTGTCGTTTGGGCAAAAGGTCCTAGTACGTGTTGCTTACAAGTTATTAGTCCCGGTGTTTTGGCCTCTTGCAAGCTATGGGATGAGAATTCAGACGATGAAGATGGGATAATCTGTAGTGTGTTTGTAGTTTGCATGTCGTGGTAGTTTAAGTTTGCATGTGGGACTAAGTTTGTAATTGAACTATGTTGCACGCATAAACTTTGAATGTGGTCGAAGTGGTTCCGAAGTATGAAGGCCATCCATTTATGCAACACACAGTTTCTCTTAATAAATCCTTATGATTTTTTTACAAGTTTCAACTAAATATGCCCTTTTTCGCTTTTCATTGAGTTTCAGTTGCATGTTTTTTCTTTTGGAAATCTCATTCACATCCACCGCTTATGAAAATGCTTGATCATCCAAATACGTAAAAGTTTAATTTTTATTTACATTTTTTTTAGTTTTAAAGAGAGAGAAAGAGAGATATGAAACTGAGCCCCGTCGCCACTCAAGAAAAGAAAAACCGAAACCCTCACGCCAATTGCCCCCAATCCACAAACCCCATGGGCGAGCTCGCCGGCGACCGCCGCCGCCCTGATCCGCTTCCGTCACCTCAGCTTCCCCCGGATGACCTGCTCATGGAGATCCTCCTCCGCCTCCCGCCGGAGCCGATCTACCTCTTCCGCGTCTCCTTCGTCTCCAAGCACTGGCGCAGCCTCGTCCACGACGCCCGCTTCCTCCGCCGCTTCCGTGATTTCCACGGAGGGACGCCTCCCATGCTCGGCTTCTTCAACAGCTGTCCATGGACTGCCCTCTTCGTCCCCACCTCCGGCGGCTTCACGCTCTCAACCACTGCCAAGATGTCCACCGACGAGTGGCGGGCCCTTGACTGCCGCCACGGCCGCGCCCTCCTGCACAACAACCACACCAGGACGCTCTTCGTCTGGGACCCCATGACCGGCGACGAGCGCTACCTACCGTTCCCCACTCAAGCCCATCTGGAGAATGTTCATTACAATGGCGTGTTTCTCTATGTTTTGTTTTGTGTTGTGGTATTCGAGTGGCTTCTATGTCAAATGTGGATTCCATACCTTTTCTAAACGGTGTTCGTTTCATCCGTTCCAAGTTGCCTTTGATTCCCGCCCTCCCACCCTTTTTCTTCAAGGATTCAGATTTCTTAATCATGTATCCTTTTATTTGTGTGAAGTCTCTTCATCCTTTTCTTTCAAGTTTCGATTCGGTGATCTATCATGAAGATGCTAAGGAAGCTTCAAGTTCATCATTTTTCGTTCTATT